CTCTCTCCTCTCTTCTCTCTTTCTCTGTCTTTCTGTCCCACTCTGCTTCTCTTTCCCTTTCTCTCGGTGGCTACTCTCGATGCCCTCGACATCTCTGCGGAAGTCGCGTGTATGAAGGTTTTTCGCGTACGTGGACATCGTCGGCGACGGACGCGAAGTGATTCGTATATTAGAATGCCATTGCCGGGGATACAAATCTTGCGCGTCATTATGCAATAGATGTGCAGCTGACCGTAGAGAAGTGTCGTCTCCTCTTCTGCTCTTTCGACAACGAGGACGGCGGTAATGCTGCGCGGCATGTTTGTATCTTTGTTTTCCGATACCGTGCCACGACGAGGAAACGTTGCCGCTACCGTTGCCGTTGCCGCCGCTCATTTGCTTTTCTATATTTCGCGACGGATAATCACGTGGGAATGCGTCAGCCGATGCTAGGCGTACCTGTTATTAATCTTTGTAACGCGTATATTCGGTAGTGTTGTCTAGTGTACCTATGTATGTGGCTCACTTTTTTCCGGTATCGTGGCGTTCGAAACTCGCACCACCTTTTCGAATGTAATTTTTCTTATTCGTTCGGTTCTCTGCACCTAATTCCGTTCCTTGAAGCTTTCCTCAGATTGTTTCACTTCAAACTTCTTTCACGTCAACGTTTTCCAGTTCCGACGCGCACCGACTTTTTTAATAACGCGTTATTATCGTTCACCGGCAGTCTCTTACCGCTTCGGATTACACGACGTTCGATGTTCGCCGCTCGAAACTAGTGATCCAACGCTGGAGCATACATAATATCCCCGTGGGAAGAACAAGCTCTCTCGCATTTCTGACGTTCCTCTAATGTTATCTCGCGTGCTTGGATACTGCTTTGGCAAGAAACCTTACTCCGAGTGCTCTGCGATTTTAAATATGCTTCCATTGAGCACGCGAAAAATACAAGGTGAGTGGAATTTGTAATGTTGTTCGTTTTGTTGGTAGAAATTGCAGTAAAAATAAATGGATCTTGGTTTAAAATAACTTATAAAGTAAATTCGCAGACGCGTTGATTAATGGAAGGTTTATACATTGTAAACAAAACAATGAATTGAACTTAAATGTTTGAACTGTTTTGTGTTAACGTTTGTGTACTTAATTAATCTTTTATTTTATTCGATGTTATCTCAGTATTTTGTGTTTTGTTAGGTGATGTAATTGTTATGTATATAATTAGGGAAATTTATGACTTTAAAAAGATTACAGTCACATAAATGGAATGTTGTTTTCTTAGAATAGTTAATTAGTGATCTAGTGTTTGGATTTAAGTTTGCTGTTTAATAAAAAAATGGTGCTGTATGTAATAAAATAAGAATTAGCATTTGTCTTGTTTACAGTATAGTAATATTCAGACTTGTAACATCATTGGATTTGATATGTACATTTTTATTCGATAATGTTAATAATTAGTCTCTATTTAAACGTGATATACTATGATGTTTATAAGATTTATTAAATTAAATTGTTATTTATATTAAACATTAAACATTATACGAGTTGTATTTTCCTCTTAAATTGACTATTGATAATTTGTTTGCAGATTAGTTAATGTCATCGATTGGCTTCAAATGTATCAGTGGAGAAACTAACCATTATGGATACAGAAAAGACTGTTGAAACAACATAGTGTTGTTGAGAAATGAATAAAACATAAGGAGGATTACAAGAAGAAAGAAGTAAATCATAAAGAAGACGCTGATCTGGGCAATAAGGATATATAATAAAAGCACAAGACAATATATTAGTAATGGATGAATGGGAGTGAGTACAGTGCACGTGAAGTGCAGGTGTGGGTGTGCACGGGGGGAGCCTCTGGATGTCGAGGCCGCAGCACTGGCAGTGTCAGTGGCAGTGATGGCCCCTGCTCTGACGGAAGGCGGTCCTCAAAAGCCTGAAAATTTGCTCCCTTCCCTTCCAGCTGGTGGGTTCCTTTCCCCAGAGCAGGCTGCACAAGTCTGTCAGAATCGTGAAATTCTGGCTAAATTTGTTGTCTCTGCAAACGTTCAACCATCAAAGATCGACGAGCAGTGTTTACATGGTATATCTAAGGATCTTATTCGTGATGTCATCAATTCAAAATATGCTAATGATCTTGATAGTTTGTCTACATTTACGCACGGATCTGACTTGATTACAAAGAAGGCATTAATTAAAGAGGACTGCGAGCGACGAGATACTCTGGACAATCCAGAAAAAAAGGAGATTGACATTATAATGAACGACCCATCTATGGGTGATCAAGCGGACAATATGGGTTTCTTAAAATCAAGCGCAGACTTGCCTTTGGTAGGCTCAGAAGTTGCAGGAGACAATAAAAATCTGGACGTGGATCAAATAATGGCCTTTAGTACTGATATAACTGCGGATACTGAACAATGCAACATAGGCAATGTCAGCGATATTGGGCAGAATGTAGAAGAAATTTTGCAAGTTATTAAATCTATCGAAGGAGTAGAAAATGCAGAAAACATATCTGCGGGTGTTAGTGAAACAGTGCCAAGCACTGTGGATGGTGTAGAGATGTTTTCTATACCTGAGGAAGGATTTCCTTCTTTTGCACGGGACTTACTTAACGATGTTGATGTCATGAGTATTTGCAACAACATGAATATTGCAGAAACTGTGGACCAACCGAAACCTAACAATTTAAAACTACAACAAGATATTGTTGCTCAGAAACAATTTCAGAATGAGAGGAGGTGTGCATTTCTATTAAGAAGACTGAGGAAGTTGCAGGCAAGAATAATAGGCAGGCATGTAGCGGAAGAAAATACAGGAGTTCTGGAACTTGCCCATCATGGAGTGAAAAAATATCTGTTTCAAGAATTGGTTAATATCGGTTCTAAATCTAATGTTAGAAACTTTCCTGAAATTAATAGTAGTTTGAATTCATTTTTGCAAAAAATTGAGAAAATGTGTGTTGCTCAGAGCAATAGTGTGAATCGACAGCGATTATGTTGCCGATATTTTGGTGGTGGATCACGTGACAGTTTAGGTGGTACTTCTGGCACTAATGGCAACCGTCAGCCAGTGTTTGGTGCTCCCCAAATTAAAGTTAAAGGTGATGAAGTGGAAAACATGGCTGGACCTTTGGCAACGCAATTGCATATTGTAGAATCTAATCTTGACTCCGATTGTACCGCATCTAGTAGTGGTGGAGAAAGTTGTGATGAAATGCAGTCATTTAATAATCCACATCAGCAACATTTATCTATGTAAGTTTCAACCTCTTCTCCGTTATAAGAATTTATTTTTCATTCCAAATTCAATTATATTGCTTAATACATATTGAAAGATTTTAAAATCTATTATATCTTATATTTTGTGTAGAACAGAAGTACAAATTCATGCTTACTTTAAGTTCCACACAATAAGACATCAAATGATTTATTCTGATTATAAATAATGTTTACTCTAAAAAACAGTTTTCATAATAGTCAGTTTCATTGCATACACTTTATATAGTTTTTACAAAGGTTTTATACTATCAAATTATGTTAATATAAACATAGAAAAGTTTGAAACCGATTAAATATGTTTGGCCGGTTTCAAATTATTTTGCCTCATAATATTTTAGGTGCAAAAAATGTCTCATTTATTTTAAATATAGGATATTATTATTCTTTTTCTACCAGTGTGAATATATAATTAAAATAGTTGTTTGAATTCAATGAAAATCATAATGCACAATAAATATTAAAATTTAATACTTCTATTTATGTGAAATTGTTTAATTTAACATTTAAAGTGGAATTCATGGTATATTTGTTAGAGTTAATTTAATATATTTTTGTTATAAAAATAATCACTGGAAAAGGTTCAAAATATTTCACATTTAGTGAAATATTCGTACATACATAAATATATATATATATATATCTATGTTTGATAATGTTACTTGTAGATCAAAAAGAGCAGCATGGAGGTATGCTCAAGATCGTGCAGGGGTAGCTGCAAGATGGACATGGTTGCAAGCACAAATATCAGATTTGGAATATAGAATTAGGCAACATAATGAATTGCAACGACATATTAGAGCTAATAAGGGATTAGTGATACTTGATAATACAGAAACAGTAAACGGGTATAGTGGCGTTTTACCAGGTTCCACAGGACGTTATAATTCACCAGAAGGTGAATTATCAGCTAGTAGAACACGACCATTTGTGTGGAACTTTTATAGAAAGAGGAAACTGTTACAAATAGACAGGTTACATGAAGTCTCGAAACGAGCAGCAAAAGCATCAACAGTAAGATGCAATTGTGATAATGTATTACCTCCATGTGCTTTGTGTACTGGAAGATTGGATCCAATGCAACCGCAGGAACCAATTGAACAAATGTCTATACAAGAACGAGTTGCACTTGTCGATTCTAGTTATCATCCTGTGTTGTCATTTACTGATGGTAAATACTTTAATAAAGTATATAAAACACTTTGTTTTATATACGATCTTACAAAAATAATTTAAATATAACATGTAAGAGCATTAAAATTATGTGACATATGTAAACAATTTTGTTGTTTAGAAATTACCCAAGGAACTCATCTTGAAGCGATTATGAAATCAGTGGAATGGCAACAAAAAATGCTAAGAGGAAATTTACGAATTACTCGGTTGAAGGATAAAGATAGTAATGAGAGAAGGAATAAAAAACTTCCAGGACATAGAGCAAAATATGCTGCCCGGTTAAGAAAGTCATCTTCAAGTATTCTGACTGCAAGTATGTATAATGTACTTCCACTGTTTAAAAATGTTTGTTTATCATACCACTATGTATGTTTATTCTTCTTAATTTATATACTATTGAACCATTTTCTTCAGGAATCAAGAGAAAGATGTTAAAGGGGAAAAGAAGTAGACTTGGACACGATAGAAGTGTTCATAGTTTGAGTAGAAAAAGGGTGCAAAAATTGCCAACTGAAGATGATGATGATATTAGCGCACTTTCCAGCTCTAGTAAACATTCATCTCCAGTGCCTTCTCCTTTGCACCATACTACTACTTCTACAGAGAAAAATACTGTTAAAGAGAAGAGTTCCACTTCTCATGGGTTAGTATCATTAATTCATTTCATATGAAAACTTCTTTTCACACATAGTTTCTGTAAACGGATAGTTTTACAATTAAAAAACCGTCATTTCTTTCACGAATAAAATTTTTAATTACAGGCGTTTAAGGCAGAATTCATATGATATTGACAACATTGTTATACCATATAGCGTAGCTGCTTCAACTAGGCTTGAAAAATTACAATACAAAGAAATATTAACACCAAAGTAAGTAACACTAAATAAAGTTAATGTTTTAAATTTGTCGTCGTTTGTGTTATAACATATACTACTTTTTTTCTGTAAAACAAAGGTGGAGGTTATGCGAGGAACCTTCGAAATTGGATATTAAGAATGGCGTTATGCATAGGCCTAGTCAAGACAGTGATGTAAGTTTATATATCTTAGTAATTGCTTAACACATTCGCAGACGTAAATGCTATAGCATTCATTTTCATTGTGATGCAAAATGACATGAATGCTATAACATTCAAATTTATAAGCTACATTATCATGCATTTAATTCTACATAGCTGTAATTTTTTGAAATTATTTTTACATTTTAACCCTAAGAGTACTGCATTTGTATTTTTTCTATTTTTGCAACTTATTAAAATTTTTACTGTCTGCGAGCGTGTTAAGTAAATATGGAAGTTGATATAATTTGCGGATGAAATAATAAAATATCTTTATTTTAGTTTGAAGATATGTCGGATGAAACTATTGCTTTGAGGCATGAACGCAGTGAAAGAGAAGAAAACAAACGCTTTATGACATACCTGAACATGCCACATCAGTCACGTATTCGCCATAATCGTAGAACGGATAGTCGAGCGGACAGCGGTGCAAATACACCAGGTTATTATAACTTCTAAAATATTTACTTACATATTATGTAATGAAAATTGATTACATTATCCATATAACTTTTTAATCTATAATTTAATGTTTGTATTTCATTTGTCTCTTCACCTTGAAAAAAAGTGATTTAATCTAAAACATTGTTATTAAGAACAACAAATTGTTGTTTTTCTTTATAGATCCTATGTCTCCACACGCAAGTGATTTTGGTGGAGATATGATGTCACCGATTACATCGCCTCCTGCGACTCCTTCTCAAGTTCAAGATTCAGAACATCAACATAACTCTGATACACATCGATCATCTGCTTTACAAAATGCGTTCCGACGTCGTACTACACCTACATTAAGATTAGGAAAGGATGATACGAGTACATCGGTGAATGAAGATGAAAATGAGGTACTGTTTCTTTTCGTGCATGTGAAGTGTATGCATGAATATAATTCGTCCGGCGATCGATGTGTTTTTCAAATTCGAAACTATATTAAATGTCTCTGACATTCTTAAAAAAACTGTTTATCTTATTAATAAAAGTGAAAATATTTTAAACGGAAAATAACACAAATTTACATTGAACGGATTATAAGATGCGTATAAAATAATGATACGAAAACACCTACTTGTTTAAATACTTTTGTTAATGTCCACGCGTATGTTAAATATAATTTATATTGTACTGCAGTAGTTCTTACCGTTTGTAGATGTGATATGTAAGCCAAGTAGCAAGAATTGTCGTAACACTATATAAATTTATGACTGTAAAACCAAACAACAGAAGTCGCATATTCAACAAATTCGAATTCAGACGATAATTAAGTTACTTCTTGAACTGTGAGTATAATATCGAAGACAACAGTCAAGTTTAAACTATAATATCTTGAAAGTGAAAGCATGTAACTTATGTTGTTGTGTTTTACAACCATGGAAATATATGCGGAGTTACAATATTCTAAAGAGAATTATGTAATGTTTTAAATAGATTTTGCCATACGAACCAAGGGTATTTCCATTATCTGAAGAAGTTTATGACAAAATGCTGGAAGTAATGCCAGATGGGCATTGGCAAGCTTCGTCAGCATCTCTATGCTCCCGAGAAGAAGAAAAAGCAGATGATGTACGTACTCTGTGCTTGTATTGAGTGTTTCACTATTAATTATCTAAGTCAGAATTTTTTATTACGAAACACATGTGTGCTCGTACTGATTATTAATGTAAACTTTGAGCCAACTTTCATGGCTCCTCAAGGCTATCCCTGGTAAGCAGTACCACTTGATGCTTCCTATTTTAAACATGATTCATTTTATTTTATTGCATATTTCAGAATTTAGCAAAATATTTAAATGAGATTGTATTGCATTTACGTAATGTTTATCTTTTTATAAGCATATTAGAATCTTTTTGATGAACTAGCCCGCCGCTGTTTATTTTCTTCTCGGTTGTTATAAGCTTGTAAACTTGAATATAGTATTTTTTTTAAAAATATATATATATATATTTATATATTTATATATTTATATATTTATATATACGCAGAATAACCGTTGGGTAAAATAGTATTTTTACAAAAACTTAGCTAGACGTTAATATTTCGTTTCTAGGATGGGGAAATGGATTGTCCAGAATCAGATTCAACGGAATCAGCTTGTTGTGACATAGAAGGTGAGGATCCTAATGATCCTGAATGGACAGTAGCTGACGATAGGGATACTGAAAAGGAACGAATACGTCCGACGGCTAAAAGATAGGATAAAATCTTTAATAAATACAATATGTCTACGTCGTCGTTACTATATGCAGAAGCTACCTGTCAATTGTTATATATACCAGTCGGTCATGTAATATGCACCTTAAGTTAATGGTATTACGAATCTGTAAAGTGTATTATAAATATAAATTTTATAACTTCATTCTGCTTAAATCAATGGAAAACCTTAACGATTGCTTTTTAAGTATTGCTATTTCGGCCAAAGCATTAGAATAGTATATCAATCCTTTTATTTAGGATAAGGATATTGTTATATTTTTCTTTCACTGTTACAAATAATAACAGGGCATAGTCCTTTAAAAGTTAGAATCTCGTATGAACAGAATTAGATAGTTTTATACACACATATTAAAAAATATTTAGTAAAAAAAATGAAAGTGTATTTATATTATAATCAAATCCTTATATTAAATAAAAGTGCCAACTGAAATGTTCTGTAACATTACCCTTCGACGTTGCATTATTTCTAGTTGCGAAATAAGTTTATTGTAACATAATCGAGAACTACCCGACCAGAATTCAATTATTACGAACACTTATAATTTATTGTGTGTCCCTATTATTGTGTATAACTACTACGCTTCGATATTTGTCTTCTGTTATTATTATTATATTATTATTATTATTATTTCTTGAAATGATTTCATAATTTTTGCATCTCATGTAACAGTCAAAAACAGTTTACATATAGACTCTTTAAATAATATGTACATACATAATTATCTACATTCACTTCACGATTTTGTTCACAAAATGCAGAGATAGAACTATCAATTTATGAACAAATAATACACTCATTTCACTTTAGTTATTGTAGATAAGTGAAACATTGAAATTGGTTTAAATTTCGGCATTAAAGTATTATCTCATATTCTGTATTTTGACTGTTATGTTCTTACTACTTATAATTTATGTAGCATGACTTCATGTTTATTTAAGAAACAAGTTCATTGTTTAAAATCTCATGTCACTGTGATTTCGCGATTTTTTAACAATCTGTGATATTACATGTAATTTCTTTCTTATTACATTCTTTATATTTAGTCGAGCATACATATATTTAAACGTCGTGTGCTTAGATTTTGTACATCACATTTTGAATAAAGATGAATAGGCAGTAATGGAATTTATTTTTCTTTGTAGAATTTTATTTTTCAGTTTTTAATATCGTTTGAAGTAAACAAAACAAATTATAAAATGAAACGAATTTCAATAACATGCATATGCATATCAATAAATGCAACTAAAATTAAATGATTTTCTTGTGTACACAATTTTAATGAAATTTGTATACATTTGTACATTTAAGATCGGAATTAAATGGAGAGCATTGTATAAAAAATATAAAAATATTTGTCTCATTTGGAAAACCTATGTACTGGAGTGGTAACTGATTTATGTATTACTGAAGGAAACATATTGTGTATCTAAATTTTCTAAATCTACTATTACAGCTGTATGGGTAGTACTGAAACTGGGAACTGATATCAGTCTAATCGTTTGGTTCTCGTTACCTAAAAATTCAATTATTAGTCAATTTTTATGGTATGAAGAATTATAAATTATTATTAGGTTTGATTGCTTTAAAATCTATACAAACCTTTCCACAATTTTGTTTCAAATTTCTCTGTGTTACCTACAAAATATATGTCTGGACATTCTGTCATGATAAACAGATCTTTTTCATAGTATGGACAAGCAAGTAATGTATCTGGAGCAGTTGGACACATATGCCTCCATAATAAAGTTTTCTCTAGCCAAACAATGGGAGAAACATTTATTTCACCAGTTGCTTTTATGATGTCATTGATAGATTGACCACTAGTACCAATTATTATTCGTTCCCCAATTTCACCAATCCACGGATTTGTAGTACTTTTAAAACTTTCAAGCCTATTATAGAATAGAAATTTTGATCTCTATAAATAAAAATTTTGCTTATTTTCGGAAACATACGGAGATAATAATACCTAGATGATTTTGGCAATAAACATGGATGTAGTGGTTTTTGGGGTAGCATAGCATTTGTAGGATCATGTTCTCCTGGCATTAAAGTAATGGCACAACATTTTGCCAAATTGCTTAAGAAATCATCCATAGTTTTTATTGCAGCCCCGATTTTTTTAGCTGACGTATCTGTTTCTGACTGTGTTGTATTACTATTTCTTATAGTATTACCTGTTATTACAAATTATACGATTAATGATTTTTCATAATTTTTACAGTATTAAAATCAATTTACCTGCAATAATAAGTTGAACAATGGAGGTCCCATCTTTTTGTACTTTTATATTACCGGACATTCCACATAACCAATCAGCAAGGAGGCATATTCCCAAACTTTCAAGACTTTCGGATAACTCTAAACCAGATACTATCACTAATTTTCCATTAGATGTACATTTGGTTATAGATCTCTTTGATACACATCCAGGAAAGCACCAATCTTTGACCTAAACATAATGCATAACAATAGTCTTGGCATTTAATATACAACCATTAAGATATACTTTCTTGTTTAAGTAATAATTACCTTAAAAGTTCCATCGCTATTTTCATTACCCTGTATTGCGCAAACAACTCCAGTAACAATATCCTTCAGATTAACATTTTCGCCTACTAATTTAATACGTAGCATTTCATCTTCTAAAAATGGCAAATCTTTCTCAGAACAATAATCTGATCTATAACAGGGAATGCTGAGTTGATGATCTTCACTCAGTTCACGCAAGATCGATGGTTTCCATTGTTGATGTTTGTAAAGTGTACCAATTATTATACATTCTTGACCTTCTAATTTTTCTAAGTCAGCTAACTTTACTATAGGAATATCTCCTATTTGAATAAAGATACGTTTAATTCACATTTGATAAAAATATTATTATTAAAGTAAATGTCAGAATTCTTAAATTACTAATAATAATGTTTTTTATGATATAACGATAAATATACGTACCCCATTTAACTTGAACTTGTGAGATTAAAACATCTCTTAATTCAGAAAGTCTGGAAGCATATATATGCGCAAATTGTTTCGAATAATCATTCTTTGTGCTTGTGAATTTTTTTGAAAGATTTTTGCATTCAACTTGTTTTCTTTCAAATACTTGTGGTTTATTGCCGTCTGATTTAAGAAGCAAGTTATTGCATTCTTCACTGATTTTGTGAACCATAGTTAAATAAAATAATTCAAAACTTTGAATAGATTTGTGTTTATCGATTACAATTTATAAAACACGTTAATTCCGTTCGCGCCTACACTGACTTTAAAATTCATATAGATGTTCTATAGAATGTAATTTACTGTTAACTGTACTGAAATACCGACACCATTAAAAATACCCTAGTACATACACTAGTGGATTTAACTTTACCGAATTTACTGACGAGAGACAAGATAGACTGGACATCTAATGTAAATTTTTGTCACACGGCCGGGGGGTTAGTGACCTTCTTACTATTCCAGTGTCACTTACAAACCTACCAACAGAGTGCAAATAAATAAAATAAACAAATAAAAAATACGTGTTTTTATTTCCTTGTTTCAATATTAAATTTTTCAGACGATTGAACACGAAATCCTATAAGATGTCCAGTCTATCCTGTTTCTCGTCGGTGCTAGAAGGATACTCAACTCATAAAATCATTACGTTGTTTTATGATATAGGAATATTTGTCTAGACCTTGAGAGAAACTCGTCCTATTTTAGTGTCACGCACATTACCTACTAATAATTCATGAATTTACATCTATAAATAGAAATCAAATTTTTTTTATAGCTTATTCCTATTACGACCTAGCAAAACCAAATATACATATACATTCTGCGTATATAATTATACGATCAAAATTAGAGTTCACTGAATATAAATGCATAAATAACAATATAAATGTTTGGATTGCAGATTGAACAAATTCAGGAGAAATAATTTAAAAATTATTTCATTCTCAACCAGTTCAGAATCATTCTTGGTGTTCACTCGCGATTCTCTTTGACCTCTAATGGTTCCTAAGGGTTACTAAAGACCACATGAGGTCTGCACCTTGACTTGAGAGATCGGGTGTTACTGGTGAATACTTTTCAGATTAGAGTACTTACAACTAGCCGGAGTATCAGGACTGGGAACAATAAAAATACACGACATATTTTGCTTGTTTTATTATTTCCAAATCTTGCTTAGAACCTGAAGAAATTCTTTCACAATCTAATAATTAATTAATGATAATTAAGTTTAACATTAACGCCTGACAACGACGAAGTAAAGGTTATAGATATATATATGTATATCCGTATATATACATATATATATTTATATTTATGATTATGTATGTATATAAGCTAATCCTTGCCCAGACACACATTGTTGATATGCAGTGTTTCGCTTCATCATTCAAATTTATTTTTTTTCTACAGGCATATAAATAAAATCTTATTGCTTAATATTTTTTTAAATATATATGTATATGCATATGCATATATATAAATAAATATATATATATATATTTATATATATGCATCTATACACATACATATATTTATATACGTATATGTGTATATATATGTACACACACACGTATATATACATATATCCATACATATACATATATATGTATATATGTATATATGTATATAGATATATACACGGTATCATTACCATTACATATGATGATATGTTTTTGTAGTCCCAATGATTAATATGCACGCATTTGTGCAAAATGTCTCGACGTGAGACACGTATGGACGGATTGATCCAGATGCAAAGTGGACGTTCCGAACAATCGAGCTTGTTAGCGCGATAATTTCGAAAATTTTTTGTTTGTTTTTAGTTAACGATTAACATCGATATCGAACAACTTTTTCGTTCGTCGTTTGTTCGTGTTCATTCTTCAAGAGAAAAAGGATATATATGTATAGTAACGGATTCGGTTTCGACGTCGTGATCGATTTTCGGAATGTCCTCACGTATCTGGCAGTATTTTGACGAGGCCTAAGATTGTCGTTTCAACCTCGCCCGTGAAGAAAATGACGCAAGCAAAAAAGAAGAGAGAGATTCGCGCAGCTCGCCGTTTTCATTTTTTTTGTTTACTTTCTTTTTCATCCTTTCTTTCATCGATCGCGGTGAGGCATCGCTCAAAAGC